GCTTTTAGTTTAATGTGATATGTTATGCATGTGACGATGTGGGGTCCTTGAACGATGATGGCTTGTTTGTACGAATATTTGAATGTAACTGCATGAATTGTATAACATGAACTACGGTAAATTGCATGAAACAAAACCCCGCTAGGAATATGTATGATATGTAAAGAAATGAGAATGAGAATGTCATGTCAACATGAAAACGTGACAGGGGGTTATGTTCATTAATGATAACTGTAGGACTAGTGGGACCTCATGCATATTGTGTGTTCATGCATTTGGGGGGATACCCCTATCCCATCACGAGGGTACGGACGCGTACATCCAATGGCAGGACAACGATCGTTATGATTTGCATAGCGCTGTCGTGACGATTCTAATTTTAACGGGTCCTGGTATAAGGGGCTCCTAGAGTATGCCCACCGGCTAGGGACAGTGGCCTAGTGGTGTGCGAACTAGCTGGTGAGCCCATACTCGCACGTATGGGCTGCGTGTAGAGTATATGGTATGCGTCCACGATTACCTATTAGGACAGCATCGTAGGGAAAACGAAACGAAAGATAGGTCCCTTCATTTCATTGCATGTGATTGTTGCATTTAACCCCAATAGTGGGGTCACTTACTGAGTATTCCTTTAAATACTCAAGTCATGTGCTACTACATTTTTCAGGTTAAGGCAAGACATTCATATACGGCTGATGACGGCATCGCAACTCGAGATCATGACACATGCATAGGATTGTGGTATTTATTTTCTTAGACTTAGGATAGAATAGGATGTTTTAAACTTAAACGCTTATTTATTTTATTTTGGGTCTTTTGTTGTGTCGTTTTAAAGATGTTTTCGAAACAGGTAAGTTCATGGCTGTGTTTTAAGATAAAGGTGATGTTTTATGGAATTTAAAGGAAGTCTTCCCCATTCAATATTTATGGTATGTATATGGTAGCGACCTTAAATTAAGTAGAAAATTTTGGGTCGTTACAATTAGAGTGGCTAGAGTTCCATATTTCACTATAAACCGAGAAGCTAACCGAGGTACTCCACGCAAGCTTTGACACGTCGCCTTTACAACCCTATTCGACCCATCGCCTGCCAATCGTCTCGATCTGATTCGCAACTCGTTGAACTGATTAACCCGTGGTCTAACCCAAGCGACTCGAATCGCCTAACCCGAACCGGTTTGCAACTGGCAAATGCCCGGCATCATCATCTAACGTAATCCCATCATCATATAACGTCATCACATCATCATATAACATTATCACATCATCATATAACATAAAGCATAAATGACACGTGCAAGAGCCACTGGACATGTATCATTATACATAAAACAAGCCTTCCGACCGATCCGATAGTAAGGTCACTTACTTGGTTGACCTAGGCCAAAGTTACTATGACCCTTGATGCTAGCTTAACACTACTCTCTAAAATTTAATTCGAATCCAATATCATAAATTACGATTCTACTATGGGAATTGGCTCACCTAATTTCTGCATAAAATAGTTTAAACTTACTTCTCATAACTTAAACTAGCTAAGTCTAATTTTGCATAAAATAATTTAAACTAGCTAAAGGATAGTCATGCTAACTTTAAACGCTTATGAAAAATTGAAACTAGGAGGAAAGGGAGTCATGCTAACTTTAAACGCTTCTGAAAAATTGAAACTAAGAGGAAAGGGTCTTGAGTATATCCCAAGTTGGATAAATCAAAATGCTGGCATTGAGCCTTCAGAAAATATACTCTCTGAGGATCGAACTCTTCAAGTGGTATGCTAAAATGAAGTGAGAGACGTCTCTTTTATAGTGGAGGTCAACCCCCTACTTCTAAACTTAAAGAAATGATGATGATGATGCATGATAACATGACGATGTAAGATGTATGATGATGAGATGACTTAATACGATGTTATTCCATATTAAGATGATGTACATGTATTAAATGTGATGAGACATTATAACAACAATTTTTCTAAGACATAACCTAGATAATGTTAATGATGATAATCGTAGGAAGGCAAATGCATTCATGTTACTTAGAGTAATATGTGGATGGGTATAGGGTTGTGTCATAAAGATGATTTAAAGATGAAAATGTGACCTCAAGCATTTTGTGTGTACATATACATCAGATTACTTCCCCATTTATGATGATGAGTACGGACGCGTACACTATAATGATGATGATGATCATGACTCGCATGATACTCGGGGGTCTAATATCCTCCGGACGTCAGTACAGACAGCTAGCTCAACTATGATGGGTCCAAAGGGAGTGCAAACCACTTGGAGACTTACACTCGCACATGTGGGTCATGTGTAAGGAAGTACTACACATCCAATTTTTTCCGGACTACAGGTCACCCCTATGATAGTTTTTAACGATAGGTCTCTAATCATGAGTTGTATACATTTGCCTTCCTTTACCCCAATAGTGGGGTCACTTACTGACTATTTCTTAAAATATTCAAGCAGTGTAATACTTCTATTTCAGATTAAAGGCAAGACATCGGCATCGCAAGTCAAGACCATGACACATGCATAGGATAGTAGTATTTTATTTCTTAGACTTTAGGTAAGGATAGAGTGTTTTTACTTTTATTGTTTATTTATTTCCTTTAGTATTTCGTTATGTTATTTTAAAGATGTTTTCGAACATGTAAGTCCATGACAATGTTTTATGATAAAGTTTTAAATGTTTAATTCTACATAAGAACATAAGTTATAATGATGATAATAACTTTAGGTTAGTAAAAATCTAGAGACATTACACATAACGTAAGCAAAAATGTATGTTTTAAAATTAACAAAAAAAAAAAAACCTTTTGATTCGATTCAATCTAATCTAGTTTTATAAAAATCTATGAACCAACCTAACGAAACTTTTAATTTATTTAAACTCGACCCAACCCAATTCAAATAAGTTCATAATCCATGCAATAGACTCTAGAATATATAGTAGTGTCCATTGATTAGCTTTTAAGTGATAAATTAGTTTTGTTTCATTTGCAAGCATAAAACACAGATCAAATACCATATGGTCAAATCTCATTTTTGTCTGTACTAAAGAAAATATTAAATAAAGAATAAAACTTTAATTACACTGATAATTAAATAAAGGAATTAAAAATAACATAAAGTAATAATTATATGGTAAGGTAATAATAATGCATGCAAATAGTAACAAACGTTTTGTCCATTTCTTGGGAGTAAGTTCAATAAACAAACAAAATTCAAAACTGAAAGACTTTATCAAGCAACCACCAAACATATATATGGAAACATGGATCAATTTGAAATTTTGAATTGGTTGAGTAAGTGACCCGAACCAATCTAACACAATTCTCTATTTTCGTGTAGAGTTGTTGGGTTATTTTATTTTTACTATTATTATTTACCGACAATACATATTACATTTATAACTAAAACCTTCCTCAAATATCAGACGTTTACAAGTCAAACGCATCAGTAACATTAGTTTTAAGGTTAAATATTCTTAATGTTCGTAATAATCTTAAAAGGTAGGGTAGTGTTGGGTAAGGTTATAACCTATTTTAGAGTTGGTTTAGTTGACCTAACCAAAAAAATGTCAACATGTGGATGGACCTGAATTTTTTGTTGTTTTATCAATTCAGCCTAACCCAATTGGAAAAAAAAAATAACCCAACTCAACTTTTATAATATGGGTTGGATTGTTCGAGTTAGTTGAATTTTCAGATCATACTGTGAGATCCCACATGGATCGGAGAGAGGAATGAATACTAGTGAGAATCCTAGACCCTAAAAAGAGATAGATTGTGAGATTCTACATCAATTGAGAAAGAAACGAGTGTCACCAAGAACGCTGGCCCCAAAGGGGGTGAATTGTGAGATCCCACATCGGTTGGAGATGAGAACGAAACATTTTTTATAAGGGTGTGAACCTTTCCCTAGCAGACGCATTTTAAAACCGTGAGGTTGATGACTATACGTAATGATTCAAAGCGGATAAGATCTGCTAGGGAGAAAGAAAGAAACGAGTGTCACCGACAACGCTGGCTCCAAAGGGGGTGGATTGTGAGATCCCACATCGGTTTGAGAGGAGAACGAAACATTCTTATTAAGGGTGTGAACCTCTCCCTAGTAGACGCGTTTTATAACCATGAGATTGATGACTATACGTAACGATTCAAAGCGGACAATATCTGCTAGGGAGAAAGAAAGAAACAAGCGTCACCGACAACGCTGGCTCCAAAGGGGGTGGATTGTGGATCCCACATTGGTTGGAGAGGAGAACGAAACATTCTTTATAAGAATGTGAAAACCTCTCCTTAGCAGAAGCGTTTTAAAACCGTCAAGTTAATGACTATACGTAACGATTCAAAGTGGATAAGATCTGTTAACGGTGTTACAGATACCTACACTAAAAAATATTTAGTTTTCCTTTATTCAAAATTTGAAGAAACGTTTCTTTTTAATTCCTTTGTCTTTTATAATAATAATAAAAATAGTCAAACAAAAAAAAACCCAAATTGAAATTTCATTATTTTAGCCATGAAAGAAGGCGTTCTCTTGAAGCTAAAGGTTCTTTACATGGCAAGATAATAAAGATAGCCAACATTTCACTTCCCTTATTACAAATTAAATCTTCAACTAAAAAGAAAATAACTTGAAATCTTTACCTTTTGAATCCAACTCTAAACGGACAATTGGATAATCCGACGCTACAAGTATTTACAAGCTGTGTTTCACAATATGATATCATTTCATTATTTTAGCCATGAAAGAAGGCGTTCTCTTGAAGCTAAAGGTTCTTTACATGGCAAAATAATAAAGATAGCCAACATTTCACTTCCCTTATTACAAATTAAATCTTCAACTAAAAAGAAAATAACTTGAAATCCTTACCTTTTGAATCCAACTCTAAACGGACAATTGGATAATCCGACGCTACAAGTATTTACAAGCTGTGTTTCACAATATGATATCATTACGAAGGTTCGTTGTTCCATCATCTCAGGCTACTATTTAAACTCGTAATCTTATTACGAAATTAATTCTTAACAAAATCTACAAACCCGCTCTAAAGGGTATGGTTGTTTCTGGCAACCATGTAGTTCCATTAATAAAATTCTCGACCGTAAAATTAGCAACGTCGGTTAAACTATGGAGTACATGGAAACCAGGCCAATCCACTCTTTGTGAAGTGTTAGCTCCTCCACCTCTATTATTGTATTCACCATAATACAATAGGTTCACCGGCACTCCCAACCACTCTAACCATCCTTTAGGCTGAACAACATTGTCAAGAAATGACTCAACGAAAGCCACCATTGAATAAGCTCTCCAAGGCCGTCCAAGAAACACTAATACCTTATCCCTACTCGATGCTATCTCCGGCGACACCGTCACGGTGCAATTTTGAAAGACGAACCCGCTCTGTTCGTCTAAATTGGCTTTGGATTGTGCAGTCACCGTGGTGTGGATATCTACTAATCTAGCGTATATGTTACAGTCTTGGAATACAACGAGCCCATTTCCGAAAATGAAGTCAACTGTGCCGTAGATATCACACTCTTTGAAGAATTGGGGTACGGCTGCAGCATAGAGAGTGTCTTGATACCCCAAGAACACGCATTTATAGTAAGCTGTGTGTTTAGCTTGATCAAGAACAGCCACAGCTTGACCCATTTTTGGTCCGGCAGAGTTTTGAAATGTGAGGAACTTAGCCATGAAGTTTGCGCCATTTACAGCTGAAAATGGGTTTAGGGTTATAATTTTGAATAAGAAATTATAAGAACGACAGTCCACCGCTAGCAAATATTGTTCGTAGATATGGTTCTGTTTGGGCTTTCACTTTGGGCTTCCTCTGAAGGCTTTAAATGCTAGTAGATATTGTCCTCTTTGGGATTTCCCTCTCGGACTTCCCTTCAAGGCTTTAAAACGTGTCGGCTAAGGAAAGGTTTCCACATCCTTAAAAGGTGTTTCGTTATCCTCCCAACCAATATGGGATAGCACAATCCACCCCACTTCTACCCCACTTCAGGACCTAGCGGGACTCCCACCAAATCCACCCCTTTCGGGGCACAGGATCCTTACTGGCACACCGCCTCATGTCTACCCCCTTCGGAGAATAACCTCCTTGCTGGCACATGGTTCAGTGTCTGGCTCTGATACCATTTGTAACAGCCCAGGCCCATAGCTAGCAGATATTGTCCTCTTTGGGCTTCCTCTTTCAGGCTTGCCCTCAAGGCTTAAAGCGCGTCTGCTAAGCAAAGGTTTCCACATCCTTATAAAGGGTGTTTCGTTCTCCTCCCAACCAACGTGGGATAGCACAATCCCCCCTACTTCCACCTCATTTCAGGGCCCAGTGGGACTCCTACCAAATCCACTCCTTTCGGGGCCCAGCATTCTTACTGGCACACCGCCTCATGTCTACCCCCTTCAGGGAACAACAGCCTCGCTCGCACATGGTTCGGTGTCCTGATACCATTTGAACAGTCCAGGCCCACAGCTAGCAAATATTGTCCTCTTTGGGCTTTCCTTTCGGGCTTCCCCTCAAGGCTTTAAAACGTTTTTGCTAGGAAAAGGTTTCCACATCCTTATAAAGGGTGTTTCATTCTCCTCCCCAACCAATGTCAGATATCACATACATGAACAAAATTGACATGAATTGAAGCTTACTTAGAGTAGCTGAATTTGAAGTGGAGAATCCAGCGGCTTTGCTTCGATTATCAACGATGATTGTTGTGGAAGCGTTGTCTCCGATCAACGAAATGAATGTTTTTTGAAATGGAACTTCAATATGTTCGTTATAGATTCCGGGTTTGATGTGAATGTAAAATCTGGTGGTAGTGAAGTTCGGTGCAGCGACTATGGCGTCACTGATTTTAACGAAGTTTCCGGTACCGTCTAAGGAAACTGTGGAATTGAAGTCAAAGGTATTAGAAAATTTAAGAAAATGAAGAAGTAAGATGGAGAGTGTGAAGAACATAACATGTTGGAATGCCATGATTGAGTTATAAGGGAGAGACAAGCTGATTGTTGAAACTAGAAGCGTTTTATTTATAGAGGTGAGTGATAGTGGAAGCTAGTGTATGATGGGCAGCTTGAACATTCATGGAGGGAAAAGAATTACCAAGTGTCATTCATGGAAAAAAGGGCTATAAAACATTTTTAAATGAAGTATAGGTTACACGGATTGAGTTGGTTCGAAATTTTTTTGTATCGACTCGAAATTTTGAGTTGGTTGGATTGGTGATACGAGCAATTAGAATAGAGTTCATGATCCAACTCAACTCAACCTGTAACGACCTAGATTTTTGCTCACCTAAAGTTGCTACCATCCTCATAACTTACTTGAAACACACCCGACTTTAGTATTGTAAGAAATACTCAATATGTGACTCCACTATTGAGGTTAGGGAATGAAAACACATGAAACTCATGATGAGAGACCTATCATTTAGAATCATCATATACGTGGTCTCTAGTCCGTATAAAATTGGATGTGTAGTACTTTTCTACACATGACCCACACGTGTGAGCGTGAGTCTTCAGGCGGTTCGCACCCCTTGGACCCATCATAGTCGAGCTAGCTATCTGTAGTCAGACGTCTAAAGGTCAACAAACCCTTGAATATCATGCAAGACATGATGATGATCATCATCATAGTGTATGCGTTCGTACTCATCATCATAAATGGAGAAGTAACTCAATGCATATTAACACACAATATGCATTAGGTCCCTATAGTTTTCATCTTTAAATCATTTTTGTGACACAAACCTATCATTCACACATTATCCTAGACAACATGCATTGATTCGTATATTTATCATCATTAACATTAATTAGAGTTGTATCTTAGAAAATTCATCGTCACAATGCATCATGACAATTAATACATGCACATCATTTTAATATGAAATATTATCATATTAATTCATCTCATCATCATGCATTTTATATCATCATGAATTATCGTCATCGTATCATCATATCATCGTTATCATCATATCATCATACACCGAACTATGGCACTATCTTCTGAGGTCGAGTTCATGGCAACAATTGGAGCATCGTGCCAAGCATTGTGGCTAAAAAATTTATTGAGCGAAGTGACTAGAAGTGTAAACGAATATATTTTTCCGAATTATATTTTAAATGAATATATTTTTATGTTAAAAATCAAGTTAATGAAATTTTAATTTGACAATTCTAGTACAAAATATAATTAATCATCTTAATTTTGTTAGTTCATAAAGCAGCAAACTCTTAAATGTCCATTGATTATATTTTAAGTCAAATCCCATTTTTTTCTGTACTACGATAATTAAATAAAGGAATTAAAAATAACATAAAGTAATAATTATATGGTAAGCTAATAATAATGCATGCAAATAGTAACAAACATTTTGTCCATTTCTTGGGAGCAAGTTCAATGAACAAACAAAATTCAAAACTAAAAGACTTTATCAAGCAACGACCAAACATATATATGGTAAGGTATTAATAAGAACCACATGTACACGTTTTGAGTTAAAGATATCTTTGGGATCAATTTAAAATTTTGAATTGGCTAAGTGACCCAAACAATATAAATAAAGTTCATAATCCAATCTAACACAGCTCTCTATTTTCGTGTAGAGTTGTCGGGTTATTTTTTTTATTATTATTAGTTACGACAATACATATTACGTTTATAACTAAAACCTTACTCAAACATCAGACGTTCACAAGTCAAACCTATCACTAAAATTAGTTTTAAGGTTACATATTCTTAATCTTTGTAATAATCTTAAGAGTAGGGAAGTGTTCGATAAGGCTATAACCATATTTTTTAAGTTGGTTCAGTTGACCCAACCAAAAAAATGTCAAAGCATGGACAGACCTTAATCTTTTTGTTGTTCTATAAATTCAGCCTAACCTAAATTGCAAATTTTTTTTAACCCAACTCAACTTTTATAATATGGGTTGAATAGTCTGAGTTGGTCAACTTTTCAGGTCATACTGTCAAAACCCACATCAATTGAAAGGAGAAACGAGTGTCAGAACACTGGGCCTCGAAAGGGGTTGGATTGCGAGATCCCACCTCGTTTTTTTTGTTATTCTATACATTCAGCCTAACCCAAATTGATTTTTTTTTTTTTTTTTTTTTT